TACGCTCCTCTCCCATCTGGCCGTGGTTGAACGAGGAGAGAATTCTTCGTAGCTCATTAAAATATCGACCAATGCGAGTAAAGCATAGTCGGATGATGAACTTTATCGCGACCTTTCAATATCCAATCGCAGTATAGGAAATATTTCTTGTATACTGTTGACGTCAGTTGTTGATTTCGATTGCGATGGAAACAAAACTTGCCACTGACTGAATATATGACGTCACAATAGAGAGGCGTAAATATTCAAGATTACGACACTTTTTGTGATCAAACAGCCACGGGTAGGAGAGAGCTATATATGCGGACTCCGGACCGTGGCTTGAGACGATGGTGCTTACCCTACCTAACAATAGATAGTTCGAACAAAGATATGTACCTTCAATAGGGTCGCAATTTTTAGTACCAATGGGACGTTCATTTAGTAGATTGGAAACTTCAAATAGGACAGTTTGTAACTCTGAAAATGTCAAAATTGCTGATCCAATGGCAGTCTCAAGACACAGTTTTTTTGAACGAATAAGCGACTTGCTGCAGCCATTTTCCCAGGGTGCGTCTGCTGACTTTGTTGTCTGCCAATCCATGCCTTTCGCTTTCCCAAAATTCTTGATATCTTCCCAATCCCAAGTATGTACAACTTTTTGTAATTCTTTCCCGGCAGCAATTAGTTGAGTACCTGCATCAGAAATCATTTTTTCTGGGATATCCTCTGATGGAAACAAAACGTCGTAGTACCATAAGGAAACTGCCCATATCATATTCTTCTGCTACATCAATATATACTGCTCTTGAAACCAAGCAATTAAACAAGACACCATAACCTTTCCTATGAGTCCTCTTCTTTACTGCGTCCTTGATTACAAGAGGTCCGAACAAATCAACAGCGCACATGTAAAAGGGAGGGGTCGGTTTAAGTCTTGTCTCTGGCATTGGACCCATCTGTTGACTTTGCATTGTTTTGAATTTTCTTCTACATATTACACACCTAAATCTAATTCTACTTATAATGTTTTTTACTTTAGGTATCCAAAATCTGCTACGGATCTTTGTTAGAGTAACGTCAATCCCTGCATGATCTTCGTCGTGTATTGCTTTCACTACATATTCTGTAAATACGTCATTTGTAGGAAGAAGTGCAAATGTGGACTGATTCCAGGTTTCTTTAATCCATTTACTCATTCTTTGTCCAACTGTAATAATTCCATCCTTTGTTCGTTCAGGGCCAAGACGTCGAAACCTCTGCATAACATTGTTTGGTAGGTCCATTTGAGCATGTAAAATCCAAGCCTTTTCAGCCTCTCTTATAACTTCAGCTGTCACATTTTTAAGAATCTTCTTGAATGAGTGCGCCTTGAATATAAGTTGCAAAATACCAGTGAGTATATACAGCTTATTCAAGGATGAGATTCTCATGGTGTCTATCAATTCCAATATCCGAGTCGAGGATTCCTTTGGCTTCACTTCAATATTTTCTATCAACACACTGTGCACCAATGAATCCGGAATTTCTAAAAAATCAACAGTTTGTTTCATTGGCCACTGTTCAATAGGATAGTGTAAGAATTCTGGTCCTTTCTGCCACCTTGAATCATTGTTTAATATGCTGGGATGTGTAATCCTTGTTGTAAGATCTGCAGGATTTTGATCTGAAGGAATCCAAAACCATTCAGCCTTTTGTGTCTTTGATTGAATCTCGGCTATCCTATTGGCGATAAATGTACCAAAACCGTAACTTTCCTTTTGAATTTGGGCACGGACAATTGCAGAATCAGTAGGATGAATTACTCTCTGAAATGTAAAAGTCATGCTTTCCACATTTTTTTCCCTTATTCTAGCTGACAGCACAGCACCGCAAAGCTCAAGCCTTGGAATGGAAAGTTGTTTCACTGGCGCAATCCGATTTTTTGCAAAAATTAATCTGACGTCATAAGTGTCCCAAGCAGTCTCCCATCTTACGTACGCACACGCTCCAAAAGCAAGATTGCTGCCGTCAGAAAAAAGCACCAAGACCGGATTTCAAAAGACATTAGTTGGTTGTAAACATCTGGGAATGCACAGGAATTCTAACTGAAATAGTCCATTGAAAAATTCTATCCATTGTTGTCTTATTTCTGCGGATAAAGGTTTATCCCACACTTCAGACTTACTCTGGTTTCCTTGGCATAAATTTCTAATGAGAGATTTTGCACTAAGAGTGTAAGGAACGATCAGTCCTAAAGGGTCATATACTCCTGCAACTTGGCTGAGTACCATTCTTCTTGTCAAAATTTCAGGAATTTCCTCTGACTTATTGGTTGATTTCTCTTCATGGCTTTTATGCTTTGTTTTCCGGGAGAAGTTCAATCGCACTTTAAATGTAAATACATCATCAACAGGTTTCCAAACTAGTCCCAACACCTTTTCTGATTCTGTATTCATTATGTTGATTTCATCAATTTCCTGATGATGGTCTCCTGATATAATCCAATGCTTCATGTGAAAGCCACCAAAGTCCAATACTTGATTGATATCCTTAGCCAATTGCAATACATTTTCAAATGTGGAGTCTGATGCTAAAATATCATCAACATAGCTGTTGTTTTTTATAACACTAGCAGCCTTTGGGTAAACATCTTCCAGCATTTCAACTGTTTTATTGAGAGCTGTAATAGCTATAGCACCACTGGGGCGATCTCCAAATGGAACACTGGTCAACACATAATGATCTGGTGGTCTGTCAATTTCACAATTTCTCCATAAAAATCTGTGTGCATGCTGATCTTCTATGGAAAGATGAATTTTTTCAGTCGTTGTTCCGTTGACCGTGAATGGCCTATCGCAGCTTGTATGTTAGTAGGCAGTTCTGAAGGATTCCGTTTCCACGGGTAATTTATGGTCCAGCATTTGTTGGCATCATCATGCTTTAATCCAGTCTCAATCATGTTCAGGTCATGCTCCTCTTCAATGGTATAATGTCCTGAACCAACAACACAATGTCCACATCGACACCCTCCACATCTTGGTTGACAGTAGGTTCCTAAGCTTTCAATGTCTAGAAAACTATCAAACTGATCTTTTAGCGATTTAGTATTCATGATATGCATGGAATTTAATTCACTTCCCGACAAATGATTGATACAAAACGAGTTTGGCATTGCGGATACTTTAATCAGAGAATGACTTCCCCTCACACAATAACCAAATTCATTTTTCATCAGTTGAAGATTCCCGACGCCGTCAACTCTTGTGGGTAAAAGAATGCTACAGTCTGATCCAATCAGTAAATCAACCTCTCCACATGGTCTGTAGATATCAGAGTCTGTAATTCCATTAAATAATTGTGCTATTCCACTAACATTTATTGTGCCTGCATTTGTTGTAATTTGCTCCATACCGTATCCCTTAATTTGCCAGGTTTTGGCATCCTTGTCTGTCAAGGGGATTATATATTCTTTGCTATGTAGTTGTTCCATAACATTTCCTACCTTCGTGATACTGAGGGTTACATCTTTTCCTTGTAAATTAAGTTTCCTTGCTGCACGATGTGGAATTAACGAAATATTTGATCCTGGATCCCACAAAGTTGATAGCAAAATATCCTTACACTTAACTTCACTGATCATAAGTAGGACATCTTCTCCAGGTTCTTTGCTATTAACAATTCTCACAATGTTAGCAACATTTCCCTCTTGACCTTCTTGATGCAGTGACGAGGGATGTAATTTTCCACAATGCTCACATCCTTTCTTTTGAGGACAGTATTTCGAGATATGTCCTGTCTTTAGACAAATAAAACAGCCTCGATTTTTTCTAAGTCCATTTTAGCACCAACGTCATTTTCATTGAAATTCCAACACTTAGAAATATCATGTGTATCACTGTTATGGTACCAACAACTCCTTTGTGATGGCGAGGGTCGACTGAATCTTGGTAGATTTTGATTTGTTTGATGTCCTTGACGAACAATTTCATTGATGCTTGCCAGGCCGTCTACAACCTTTTGGAGGACTTCTTGATTGTGCTTCATCTGAACACTTAGTTGATCAACTGGAGAATGTGAATTTGTCTCTGCTACATGGTGGATTCTTGCTTTGGAATTATTCCTCATTTCTGATTGCATGTATTCCATGGAATTCTTTTCTTCTAACAGAAATTCAAGTAACGGAAGAAATACTTCAAATTTCCCATTTTTTTTTTTTTTTTTGCAAAACCCATTCTCTTTTTTGTACAGGGGGTAGAATTTTTTCGATTTCGTTTACCATTGTCGCCGTATTCATCTCTCTCTCCATTTTCATTCGTTTCAAATCTAAATAACATCGTTCAATCACTTCTACACTATTTATAAAGCTGATATGGTCCCAATCGGCTATGACTTTGAGCTTCTGGATGTCACTCAAAATTGAATCTGTTAGTTTCTCTGGTCTGTCGCACTTTAACTGCAGTCTGTGCCACATTTCTTCGTAATCATTATCCACTCCTTGAATGACTTTTAATGCCTCTCCGTGTAAGCACTTTTTCAGAGCAAATGGGTCTAAGCCATAAGATGGTACCATAATACATTCATAGTCTCTTTTGAAACTTGGGTATTCCCGTATTGTACCGCTAAATGAAGGTGCATCAAGTTTTTTTTAACTTTAACTGTTTCCTTTTTTGTTTTTGTCTCTAATTCCTTTTGTTTAATCTTTTCTGCTTATCTTGTCACATGTAAACGGCACTCACATAATTCACTGTACATTTTGTCCATGTCTTTATCAACATTTTCATGTTCACTTGCTTGTATTTCATTTTCTAGATCTGAAAGTTCTATATATTCTGCATGACTTCTTTCTAAATCATTATAGGACGTTTCTAGATCACTAAGAATATTTTGTAGTACACCATGGTCCTCCATATAACCTAATTCTCTAAATCTGTTGTATATTCTGTGAAACTTGCCCTTTTGCCTTGAACGTCGACGCTTCTTGCCCTGTAGCTCAGGATCTTTCGACTCTTCGGGTGGCGGCATGTTCCCTCTGTGTCGAAATGTTGCGCCTGGTCAGTACAGAAATTCACACCGTCATGTAGTAACATTTTATTGTTTCGACCTGTTAATGGATAGATATCTATTACAATAAATATAATTATACAATTCTCATTATTATTAACAGTCATGTTTTAAATATTAAATAACTCACACATTGACGGGCTAAATACATGACATTGTTTCGCCGTTGAGGAGTCCGTGCATCTCAAACCGGATATTACTTACGAAATAATAAAGTCCGAAACGATACGGACGGGATGTACAATTCCGAAACGTACACAATATATTGTCAGTCCGTGCAGATGTGGTGAGCAGACTTTGGCGATTTAATGCACCCAGTGAATCTTTAATATTAAACAATAACAGAGTTATTGCCCTGTTTTCAAAAACTGTGTACATAACACGAGCTTGCTCGACTTGCTAAACTCTACACAAAGGAATGAAGATCCTTGTGAAGGAGTTGTGCTTTCTAACATTTCTACCCTGAAAAAAAATATTTTTTTCTGGATTTAAGTTTTGATATTTCCCATTAATACACAACAGAACTGCAACTTTTCCTAAGAATTAAGAATTAAGTTAAAATTTGTGAAAGTTCAAGGATGTGTCAATCAAACCTTCCAAAAATTTAATTTTTAATTCATGTATGCTTGAAATGCTATTAGAATATATAATTCGTGATATTATACAGAAAGAAATTACTTGAAATCTGTGTACAAATACCTTTAATTGACAACGAATCTTTTCCGTAATTTCAATATTATGACAAGGAGCACACGGCGATTGTGACCGGTCGGCAGGAGATGTTCACTCCTACAAGGCACCTGATCCCACCTTTGATGTTTTGAATGTCCATGTTTACTCTGCTCCTATTTTATATTTTTTTTATGGAATTTTGATCTCGAATACTATTTGCTATATTAATGTGTTTCATCATGCAATCAGATTGATTGTGTGCCTCTTAAGAACCCCACAATATCACCTGAAGGGCAGATGATACAAATAAAATTGAATGACTGGATTGGTATATGTTGTTCGGACCAAATTTCATTGCACATGATGCAATGATAAATTTCAAGCAAATGAAGAAATTGTAAACTTTCTGTGATGTTCAATATTATACCCTTCTGAAATTTTTTTTTCTCCCCAATTTTCATTTTTGTGCAACTTTAAATGAAAAATAAAAAAAAAAACAGTGAAACTTACCAATTCTATTAAAAAACATGAATAAAGTTGTAATTTAAAAAAAAAGAACTGTATTTGGTAATAACCAATATTTGCCCCCCCCCCCCCCCTCAGCAAACGTTCGCTTTCAAACTTTTAAAGCTAAAATTGTTGAAATTTGGTCCATTTTGTCCTTTTTCTACAAAATGTTATGAAATTGGACACGTTTGTGACGTCATAAAAACAAAAATGGTCAACAAAATACCTTGAAATTATAATATGTTCTGTTAATTTACATTTCTCATATACAATTTATAAAATTCGGTACATTTCAAGAATTTTTCAAAATTTGATTTTTGTTAGGGCAGAGATATGCAATATACCGCAGATACTTCTTTGTGACAACAGCTTGTATAATTTATCTTTAAGGAGCATTCCGGTCGAAACGTTGAAAAATCCTTAGTTAAACGCAACAGGATTAAACCAAGAATGTTTCACTCATTACGATTACGTCCGAGAGACTTTTGGCCTGGTGTGATAATCTCCCTCGGTTTTTTTAATAGGCATTATTTTCTCTATGCACTTTTGTTGCGTCTTTATTATTGAAATACTTTGATTTGTAAGTTAATTGTGCAAACAAAACGAAAGTAGAAATGTCAGAAAGTGTTTATTTTTCCCTACAAACATGCTCAAGGTAGAATTCTTCTCAAATTTCTTGCATTTAAAAAAAATGAATTTTTTACAGAAAAAAGGAGACAATATCACTAGGTGAGATTAAGTTTGACCGTTTCTTATTAGAGCCAAGGGCAAGTCAAGGTCAAATTGCTTTTTTCGAGGACATTAAGAATTAAAAAAGAATGACTTGACAATCATGAGATCCCAACTTGTATTTCAAAAGAAGAAAAGAGAGAAAAAAAACTTGTTTACGGATTTTTTGCTCAAATCTATACTAAGGTTGGAAGCTTTTAAAAGCTAATACTGTTCTACTTTGTTGGAAAAATCATATTCATTAGATATGTTTTGAAACTTTGGCCCCTTATTATCATTTGAATTACATTATAAAATTTCTTCTGATTGTATCAAATTATAAAAAAAAAAACATTGTTCTATAATAATTTTGAGAAGCAGAAAAGATGATATTTTCATACGTCACCACTCCACCAAAAATAAGTCCCTGCTAGTTTTCAATAACAGTTTACCATTTCTATTTAAAGTTCTAAAATTGTGTTGAGGAAAGAAAAATATGGTCTTTGAAACATCTTACATCTATTTATATAAGACATAAACGCAAATATACTTTGAATATTTGATATAGTTAGAAACCAAAGAAGAATTCTACCTTAAAACAATCACCGCTATCATTCATTCTTTTGCGAGATTCCAATCTACGTGAGCAATTAATGAGCTTTAAATACGTTTGTTAAAAACAATACTGTCGATACAGGAAAATATTTTTAACCGTATTAACATGGCAGTATTACCCCAAGCGAGAAATCACTAACACCTAGCAGGCACAAGTAAAAGAAAATGATCGGATTAGAGGAGATAATTTGCACTTGTTATAAAAAGTTGATTCTTTTTTTAAACAGTGGCCGGTTTAGAGATTAGTTAAGATCCGGAATGGGCAACATTTATCAAACATACAAAAAAAAAAAAAAATAGAGAAAATTCAAAAGAACAAATTAAAGGACTGAAATATTACGCCGGTGTAAAGACGAATAATGACCCCCATCGAATAATGACCGGGGGTCATATTTCAACGACAAAAAATGACCCCCACCCGTAGAAAAAAATCATTTTTTGTAGAAAAAGGGTCCTAGAGGGTCATTATTTTATATGTTAGTCCTATAAAATAATGACCCCCATTGAAAAATGACCCCCTTTAAAGTGATACAAAGTATACACTCTTTGATATCTTTTTACAGCGAAACTAATTTTTACATTTTCTGTAACCAGAAAAATGCAAAAAGTCGTATGAAATAATTAAGGGTCCTCCACACACATACAGCTTATGTTTTCATATTTTTGAGCATTACTTTTAACAAGCATATCAACCTTTAAAAACTGACCGGGGATAAAAATGTAATTTATATGGAATTTTTAAAATAATAATTTCACAAGTTTCAAAATATTTTTCCCGAAACGTTTTCATTCGTAGGCCCAAAAATTTTGTCTTACCCTATTGTATATTTTCATGCTCACAGAATAACCATAAAAAAATAATTTTAGCGATCAACATATTTTTTAGAGAAATTAATTTAATTCATAAGAAATAAATAAAACTAATTTTCTCTCAAATACATATAGAGAACTAGAAATATGTCCATAGGACATGAATGCCCCGCCGAGGATATATTAGTAAAGCAACATGAAAATTTGTATGTATATAAAATTTGATATGAATATCCTGAATAGTGATGCAGCTGAATTGCTTGTTTGGAAAATATATGTCAGATCCAGCATCCGAAGCAAGTCTGGTAGTGTCCATCCCTAGATGCATCATTCATGCAAGTTTGGTTCAGGTAGGCCTTATAGTTACCTGGGAATAAAAATATAGTTCAGATCCAGCATCCGAAGCAAGTCTGGTAGTGTCCATCCCTAGATGCATCATCCATGCAAGTTTGGTTCAGGTAAGCCTTATAGTTACTTGGGAATGAAAATATAGGTCAGATCCAGCATCCGAAGCAAGTCTGGTAGTGTCCATCCCTAGATGCATCATCCATGCAAGTTTGGTTCAGGTAGGGCTTATAGTTACTTGGGAATGAAAATATAGGTCAGATCCAGCATCCGAATCAAGTCTGGTAGTGTCCATCCCTAAATGCATCATCCATGCAAGTTTGGTCCAAGTAGGGCTTATAGTTCCTTAGGAATGGACCTGCTCCAAAAACTTTAACCTGGTCACTCATCTGGAAAATGTAGGTCAGATCCAGCATCCGAAGCAAGTCTGGTAGTGTTCATCCCTAGAGGAACAATAGCTCTCATCAATATCTATCAGCGTATGAAGTTTGATGAAAATATCTTGGATAGTTTCTTTGAAACTTAGCTCTGAACAGAGCTAAACGCAAAGTGTGACGGAAGGACAGAAGGACGGAAGACGGACATGACAAACACTATATGCCCCGGCCATATTCATGGCGGGGCATAAAAATCAAGGAAGACTCATTTTGTATAGAAGAAACAGCAATGATATAGATTACACCAAAAAATTGAATTAAAATTAAATGCACTAATGTAGAAAAAATATTTTCAAAATCATTGGTATCAAAGTTCCTTTTTGGAGTTATCCTTCCTGTTGCCCGGGACTCAAAAACTTTGACAAGTCTCCGCAATAGTTACTAGCTACTAAAAGAGGAAAACTGGAAACGCACACTAATTTATTAATATTTATAAACACAATGAGATGATGTATTTATTCATTGAAACGCACAAATTAGTGTGCAAAAATACCAACTTTGAACACAAACTCTGTTGACGATAATCATCGATGTCAGTGGGTTGATTAGCCTGAAAGTATAAATAACCTAAAAGTTCCCGACATACCGGCTTTCAATGTTTCCGAATTATTATGTAACGAAACTCAGTCATATGTCTGTTTCTTATAGAAAAAAACGGACATCTTTTTTCTACCGGTCACTCCGTGACCATGCCATGTGTTTATGAGTGTCCTACTTTCTCTTTCGAAGACTCTCTTACATGCGGTCTCTAGTTAATTCGCTGCTGTGAAATCTAAGTAAAACCGGAAGTAAAAGTATTTTTTCTCTATATACGTCACAAGTCACATGGTGTGGAGGACACTTAAGAGATTCACGTAGTCTTTCAATGCTAAAATTGTGTTTGAAAAGAGATTCTTTAATTGTCAAGTAAATAAAATTTCTTTTTAATATTCCTCCTTAAAATGTTTGCTTAAAGAATGATTTTCCACTTGTTTTTAGAAATCAAACCATGGAAAATCAGGTTTAAATACTCTTTAATAGGAAAAATTAAATTTTCCGTCATTTCAAATTTTAGTTTGTTTAAGTTTGGCAAATCCTATTTGACAATGAAAGAGGAAGAAATTTTTATCCCCCCCCCCCCAAAAAAAAAATATTACGTTAAATCAAAACAAAAAAAAATTATAATAAATGAAAAGCAAAAATATAAATAAAACTCTATACCTTTCAATAATTCTGAAAGAGGCTCTAGATAAAATATTGGAATGAAGTTAAGCCTTCACACAAGAACTATCATATCATAATTTAATTCGCCATGATTAAAGCATACTTTAAATGTTTGTGGAGGTATACTTGAAAGTATTGTGGCAAAGTAACAGTTAAAAATTAGTAGAATAGTAGATTATTTTTAGCTTATTTTTAATTCCTTCTTATAGAAAAATAAAGGTAGGGTTTTTTTTTTTTTTTTTGCTTTTGTTCAATATCGACTTCCTCCTAAATAAGAAAGGGGATCGGGTAAGTATAAGACCTAAAAATATGCTCTGTAAAGCTATGGGCTAGTGTTAAATACACAGTCATTCTGAAGCAAAAACTATACATGTAGACATAAACTTTTGATTTAGCACACAGTATTCATTACATTTCTTTTAACGTAGAACCTACTTCGTATGACATCATAATTTGTAAATGTGTTAAACCCGTGCTAACCCATTAAGACGTCATAATTAATTCAATGCCACTTTTTCCCGTACTTGACATCTTCAATAAAAATGGTAGAAAATACTGCATTTTGAAATTCACAGAATTCAATCATGCCAACATAATCTTGATTCAATTCATATATTTTCTGGTTTATAATGCTTAATGGCAATATATTTCTGGAATAAGAGAAAATATGTAGGCACCTTTTATTTACTAGATCTAGACCTGAAGTTGACAAACCCAAGACTATCTAGTGTAATGAAATTACAATGTACATACAACTTTCGTAATAATTTGAATGGTATGTAACCATTTTGAAGGAATGCATAAATCATAAGAAATCTTTAGTTGCCAGCTATATAGTGTAATATCTTGATGAAATGTGTCTAAGTCAAAGATGTATGTGTTGTAGATCGCTTGATCGTGTGTACATTTTTGTGATATCTACAATGAAATGATGTGCATTCCTTTTAACAATTATTTGTTACCTATTCATATTCTTGGTGTTTGATTACAATTTTTCTATTAAATATGATCTTTTTAAAGAAAAAGTACAATTTCTGATAAATATTTAATCTGAAAGTAACCCCAAACAGTCATTTAATTATTAAATCCCGTGTAAGTGCAAAAAGGTCAAGAATATGAGTATCGAAAATAGCCTATCTTTCATTAGTTAGAGGGGAAAGGTATATATTTTAATCATTTTTTGTAATCATTTGGCTATGTTCTTCATCATCTTTAAGATTGAAAACATTGTGACAAAAGCGTCTAAAAAATATTTACAAATATAGAGTGAATAATTGACTAAAAACAATAGAGTTCATTTGACCATTTTTTTTAATGGTGGACTTATCTTTTATGTTAATTGAATAAAAAAGAAATTATTCTTGATAAAATATTGTTTAATATTATTCAGTTTAAAAAGTTTATAAACGACGATGTTTGAAGAAGTATTTTTGTGATTATCCATATTCCCTTTATGACAAGTACCCCAAAAAATATTTGAAAATGTGAAGTCGCAGTATGTAAATACCATACCAAGTTTCACAGCCTGTTCTAGATTAAAAAACAAGGAAACATACCATGATATCTTAACTGATTGATAAGCAAATACTAATTTATCATTTTGAAAAGTTTGATAATCTTGTGACAAAGACTTTTCCGACATAGGTTCTACCTTAATTCTTGTTTTACTCCACCCTTTTACTCAGTTCTGAGCATATTTTTCAGAGAATTTAATATGAAAATCAGAACAAACATTTTCATTGTTGTAACGTCTTCTTTATAATGTATATTAATATGAAAAGTTAATTGAAAACCATTTCTATTTATGTCCCCGTAATCGAAGATTCGGGGGTATATAGTTTTATCGTGTTCGTCTGTATGTCCGTCTGTCTATCTGGCGGTTTGTTTGTCCACAAAAACCTTAACCTTTACCATAACTTTTCACTTATTTGAGCTATAACTTTCATATTTAATATGTATATTCCTTGTGACAAGACCTTACTTAGGGTACCACCAAATTTGACCTTTTGACTTTTACCTTGGAGTTTGTCCCATTTTTCACAAAAATGCCAAATGTTTACTTTGGCCATAACTTTTAAACGGTAGATACTAGTACTCTCATACTTCAAATATGTAGTTTTTTGGCATTACCTTTCATTGGATACTAAAAACCTTGACCTTTTGACCTTGGAGTTTTCCGTACATATGATTTTTTTTACCTTTGCCATAACGTTTGAAGGGTAAGGGCTAGGGTATTCATACGTCACATATGTAATCCTTGTTACATTAAACATTTTCGTAAGAAATCATCAACTCTGACCTTTGAATTTGACCTACCTTTCAAAAACTTATCCTTAGCCATTACTTTTGAACAAGTGGAGCTAGGGCTTTTCTATTTTGCAGTTGTATTTCTTGTGAGAAGACCCTAATTTGGGTAACAATATATTTAAATTGCATTTAAGAAAAGTACAATCTTCGCTATGTTGCCATACAAGGGCATAGCTGTTTCACAAACACATCTTTTTATATATGAGGATTTGCGGAAAAGAGATGGATACCTCAAAGCGTAACAGATGGACGGACGGACATCCCAATCACTATATACCCTCCCGCTTTTCAAGCGGAGGATATAATGATATATAATACTGCTGATTTTTTCTGTCAGTTCGATGATTTCCACCATCAAAAAACAATGTTTACCTAACCCTTAAGGCTTGATAAATCTTTTACTCCTTTAGATTCTGAATCATTGTATTTTGGCCAATATGCTTCTTTAACCAATTTTTTGCCCTCTGAAAATTTTAGCTTTAATCTACAGGGGGTCATTTTTCTACGGGAGTCATTTTTCTTCACGTGGGTTCTGCAAATTTTTAGGGAAGTGACACTTTTTCTAAGGGGCAAAAGGGTCATTTTTCTACGTCGAATAATGACCGGGGGTCATTTTTCGCTGTCGAAAAATGACCCCCGGTCATTATTCGATGGGGGTCATTATTCGTCTTTACACCGGACTGAACAACATGCCGGTTGAACAGCATCCGGATTTAACTGTCAAAAATTTACTGTGCATGAACTTTAATCTAGTGACCATCGTTGCGTGCATATAAAGCATCCAAAAATGTAAATGTAAAATGAAAAGCAATTTGAGCAACATTTTGATATTGTGACAATGGTTTTCTTTTTGGTTCCCTTTTGGAAGATAAGATCATTTTAAATTTTACGACTTTGAATTTAAATGTAAAATTTCAATATACACTTGTAGAAAACATCGCCTTGAATAAACCCTCATAAGAAACCCATGAGTTCAGCTTTTCAAAGTATTGGAGAGATACATTTGACTCAAGTAATGCCATTGATGGTCTGAAATCAGACCTCTCAGTGTTCCGGGGTCAATGTGCAATATCAGCTGGTGGATACAAAGAAGCCACATGGTGGGTAAACCTGACTTCCATTCACAGTATCCATGACATACGGATATATTACAGGACGGACAACAACGATTGGGGTACTTTGCGTTTACTGCAGTATTTTATTTACATTTATCCCTATGCTTGTAAGATGCAAAAGGTTATGACGTGTGTGAATGAACTAGAGTTTGGTAGCACTGATAAGATGTTTTGTGAAGGAATAAAAAGGTATAGACACATGGACACATAAATATTTGTAAGACTGAATATACTTTTTAACTATTATTATACAATTCTTTTTCATAGTATATTGAGATATATAGTTCATGTAAAACAGTCCTGAACCCCCCCCCCCCCCCCTTCCGTATGAACTGATTTAAACAGACATCAAGCATTGATATAAATAAAATATATAGATTGATTGTACCAATTTAAATATTGCAAAAACATAACCTTACTGAACTTGAATTTTTTAAGGGGAAGAAACAATATCTTATAAATTCCTCTAAAAAGTATGTTGCTCCTTGAATGGCGATCAGAAAGGTCATTTATATAACATTCAGTTAAAATCGTTTCAGCAGATGATCAAGCATGTCTACGTGTGTGTGTATGTGGCGTTAAGAATTATGCACATTCAAACAAGAAAAATCTCATTTTTTCTTAAAAATGTCCAGCAAAATAAGCTTTCAATCAAGCTATTTAGACAGAGAGGAAATCAATTTCGTCTGATATATGCATGTATAGGGATGTAATAATGGACAAACTGTCATCAAAATGTAAAATGATGATTTTCTCAAAAATATAAAATTGCTACAGACAATAGCTTTTGATTTATCCAATTATATTCTAAGCTTTTGAAGTATTGATGAATACAAAATAACAAAACTCACTGGTCTTGCATAGTCACACAAAAATAATCAGGTATCTTACCGTATTTGACAGTGAATTAAATCGTTATATAAACGAGATTAACATAGAAGGTGTGATCAAAAATTATGCAAACTATCTCTATATCTACAAAACCACAATTCAGAACAGAAAAAAAAATGGTACACAGCCATTCACAAGTTCTATAAATGGCATATGCTGTAGTAAGTTTTGCTCCTTATTTGTGACATCACAATGAAAAACTTACGTCTTTATGTAGATCACCTGTGACAAAAATGTTTGTCTCAGTCGTACGCGTTCGACAAACGACTTTAAAATTATGGTATATCTTGGAAATTCATTAATTGTAGTGTATAATAATTTATATACAGTTTATTAAGACAAAAGACGTCCTATAAATTCAATCAATGATTGGATTGATGTTTTTTTTTATGTAAGGCAGATGTTTGATTATGATTCTTGTTATGTTTGCCAGTGAAAGCAAGTTTGAAAAAAAAAATGTTTTAAATTAAGCAATTTGTTATCAAAAACATCCAATTTACAGTTTGAAAAATAATTAAATATCTTAACAATGATATGATTATCAAATACCTTGGATATCGTTTACTTTAGATTTTAAACATATTAGATATTATTAAAAGGAGACATTCGTTCTCTATCAACCTTGTATAAACGCCTTTCCCGAGACAGGAGATTTGGGTTATGTTGATCGCCATGCCCATGTTTGGAAAGGATACTCTTATCCATCCATTCTGTTACCAATATTGACCATTTCTGACAAATAAACTGTTCTTGCATGGAAAAATATATGAAACTCGGAATTTTTTTTTTTCAAATCTTGTGACAGAACGCTACCGAGGGGGTCACGTGACTGCCTATATCACGTGATTCGAACATGAGCAGAACGGTGACAAATTAAAAATGAGGAGGACTAATTTAAAATATATTCAATACTAAAATTAAATAGTGTTCCTTTTTTGGAGGTTATTTAATAAGTTCGCGAACTTTTTTATCACCTCTCGTATTCTTAGGAAACGAATTCAAAGTGTGATGGTAGTTTTATTACAGTTCTAGTCAATAAATCCCAATTCTGCATTATTTAGAAGTTCCTGCAAGACATTGACGGCAACATTTTAACCAAATAATCTTATTCTTTAGGTTCTTCGAATGGATTCACCTCAAGATTTTTGGGATTTTATGTTTATGTCTCTAACACAACAGACAAATTAGATGGTCATCTATGTTTCCACGATACAAATTACTCTACAAAAACTATTCCAGCTGTCGTTGATATAAATTGCACTGTTCATGGCCAATATGTCATATACTATAACGAGAGACCACAAAACTCGCCTCATTCCAGACAGTATTCACCAGATGCACACGTTGAATTGTGTGAAGTGGAAGTGAATGGTATGCTTTTTTATTTTGTAAATCGCTTTCATGCGAATCATATATTGAAGACATTGTCTTGCTCTTCCATCAATATCGACCGTATACATTTGGAAATTCACATGTTTGCATTATATACAAAAAAAATGAGGTCAGAAGAAAGCAAACGTTATAGTCAAAATTCTCAAACCTTTAATTGCAGGTTGCAACAAAACGGGATACTATGGACGAAATTGTTCTCTTCCATGTCCTACAAACTGTCAACACGGCTACTGTCACATCGAGACCGGTGTTTGTCTAAGTTGTAGTCCTGGATACCATGGACAGCAATGCAAATTACGTCAGTCAACAAAACCACATTATTTTAACTAAGAATTTACGTGGTTGTTGTCCAATCCATTATTTTGAGATTGTTAGGCATTCTGAGTTATGCCTTACCCCATACCTCCATACTTAAAAAAATAATATATGTGCTAGAATAAAAGTACCTGTAAAGTATATGTCATTTCTTTTTCTCTTAGTAGCATAAAATGAAGCAAAAGTAATTCGAAACTTATGCATTAAAAACCTTATATACATTATGGGGCATACAACTCGACAATTATACACATGTATATCTACGACGTATTCTCAATAAACAATAATCATTTTCGTTCATATATAGATATTATCATCAATTCTCTGTAAGGACCAAAAATGCTTGGCCACGCACTATCATGGAATTTTATTTTATCAATATAATATTAAAGAGTGTCCTATATAAAGACTAAAGGTGGGTAAATTTTGGACAGTGCTTCCTTGGTTTCCATAGCAACGGCCTTGAAATATTTTGCCATGGCGAAAATGACCTAATTGTCATCACCATGCAAAAAAAATTCCATGCTTCCTAAACGTAGAAAAGTTGAGAACGTAACATGGGTCTCATTTTATAGCTAACTAATCAAAGTTTCTTGGCATATATATTTTATTCAATTTAACTCAAGGTTTTTAATATAATACAGATCAATTTATACAAAGATTGTCATAAAATGAATACAAAGGTACCTATTTCTTCAAGTGCATAGAACTTTTGCAGGCAATTTCAACTTATAAAAAAGGTTTTTTCAGTAAGATAGAACTTAGATCTAAAAGATACAAAAAGATTTGAGTTGGGTAAATCAGTTAAATGTTGTCTTCCATACGCCTGAAATCCTCACTTTTCATGAAAATTGACCGAGAGTTATTTCCCTTTGCTGACTCTTTTGCACTGAAGACAAAAAATGGTTGACTCTCCTGTCAAAAGAAGTTTCTAACAACATGTGGCAAAACAGACACCAGGAAAATAAACAATGAGAAAATGATGTTTAAGTTGTGAGTGACAAAGTGAGTCATCAATCAATTAATGGAAATGAAAGAGACAGGTCTTGTGAAATATTGGAACAAAATTTATGAAGTCTGTCTAGAGGGATATTCCATCTATTCTAAAAACCCATACGTATACATTATGATGCAAATGGAAGAAAACATTAAAAAGCAGTG